GGAAGGAGGACCCACACGCAGCCGCCGGCCCAGAGAGGGTGGGAGCAGGGGGCAAACGGCCCCCTGGGCGGCGTCCCCTCCGTCCACCGGCCTGGAGGTCTCCAAGGAGCCACTGCGGAGGGGCTGTTTGCTAAAAGGGACCAGAGCGCAGTGGTGACGGGGAAGTGAGTCAGGGCCTGGGATGCAGGACTGAGACACGACAGCCCTGTGGTGCGGTGGCCAGTGAGCGGCAGGAGGACGGCTTGCCGGGCCAGACTCCCCGCCCACGGTGGAGGGGCGCAGGCCCAGGCCGGCCCGGCCGTGGGGCTGTATAAGCTGAGCAGGGTCTGGCCTCGTGGCTCCATCCACGGTCCGGCACAGGGAACGCTGGCCGAGCCAGTGCACCCGGGTGGGTCCCCGTCCAGTGGGACTGGGGTCCTTATGTGAAGAGGTCAGACGCAGACACACGTGGAGGAATGACGGACGGGGACACGGGGAGGGGACGGCCGTCTGCACACCCAGGAGGGAGGCCTCAGGGGGACCAGCCCCATGACACCTGGCTCTCAGACTCCGGCCTCCAGGACAGGGCCCGGGAGGGTCAGGGGGACTGTGCCACCCACACGAGCCAGCCTCCTCGCGATGGACGGGGTGGCACTGAGCACCCGGGCAGGACGGGGACCTCTCCCTGGCTCCACTCGGAGGAGTGGGGGAGATGCCCAGCACAGGGGCTCACGTCTGTTCTGGGCCCCTTCCTGGATGGGCGGCTGTGGGCACTCCCGGGGGGCCCACCTCATCGGGGTGCTCTGCACTGCGCCCCAGGAGCCCGGCCAGCCGGGCAGCTGCCTTCCTCCACCAGTTCGGCTTCTGCCCGGCGACCGTGTGTTCAGCCCGGGGCCTCGGCGCTGTGACCGCTGGGCTGGCCAAAAAGTCCGTGTGGGTTTTTTTTTTTTTTTTCCGTAAAAGGCACATTTTTTTTCATTTTCACCAATAACTTCATTGACCTGGATGTTTTGACTATGTCAGCTGTCTCTCACGAGGTAGAATGTCGATTGTTCTCAATTAATTTGATCGCTGTCAACTTCGACCGGTCCACCGGACCGTGGAGCTCCGCCCGGGGAGAAATCTCCAGCTCGAAGCTCCGCAAACTCCCTGTGACAGGTCCGATCGGTCGCAGCGCCTCCGTACACCGCGCGAATCTTTTTTCGTGATTCAGTTGCGTTTTTACCTTTTTCAGAATAACACGGCACCATGCGCTGAAAAGGTTGTGAATTTTCTTCCAGCTGCAATATTAAAATGGCTGCACATTCACCGATTTTGATGTTTTCAAATGCACGTTGATAAGACAGCTGTCACAGTACAATCTAACGAAGCTGTTTCGAATGACGTCGAAGACAACGAAGCACCACCGGAGCCATCTTACGGGAAAAATCGATCGGACGTTTCGGCCAACCCAGCAGCTCCCGGCGGAACCTGCAGAAGCGGCGGCAGAGCCCACCCGGGATCCCCGGCGTGTCAGGGGCAGCGAGGGTTTCTCAGCGTGGCCAGGTGTGCTTGGCGGGCGGACTGTGACGCAGCTGAGGCGTGTGCAGGAAGAGGGTCGGATACACCTCACCTGGGGAAGGGAGCCTCCCGTCCGGGTGATCCTCCCGGCCACCGCCGCCTCCCCCAGTCACCTCCTGGTTCTTACTGCCCTGTTCTCTCAGTGTATGTCGGTGACACGATTCTGTGTTACCAGCGACAGTCCTGGTGTTACATACGCTTTTTGTTTCTCATTCACAAAACGTGCTGGTCACCAAGAGACCCCTGGGGACCCGGGGGAGCCCGCCCCTTGCAGCGAGTTCAGCCTGCAGCCCTGAGAGATCGCTCTCTTGCGGGGGGGCCAGGGTGGGGGTGCGCCTGTGATCTCCCCAGAGCACAGAGGCGCAGTCGGGCCCCCCAGCCCAGGAAACTCAGTGCCCTTGCCACAGAAGTGCATCTGGACCGCAGACGGAGCAGGGAGCCCAGGACCCTCTCGCCCTACCGGGAGGCTCAGCCTCTGACCTCCACCCACCCCGGGACCGGGGCCTGGGAAGAAACCCCTGTGCATGCAGCTTTGTTATTTAGGCTCCGGATTCGCCGTGTGTCCTTCTTCCCCATTTGCTCAGGGAAAGGCCAACTCCCCAGGCCCCACCCCCCAAAACGTGTGCCGGGCGTCGAGGGCAGCCACTGGAACCCCAACACCCCGCTCCGGGCCGTCGCCCCAGAGAAGCCGGCAAACCAGACATGCTCCCGGGGTGACATGTCCCTATGGGAGAATGGACATACACGGTGACTTGTTTATAAAAAGCCAGGGACACGAGTTGGGGCACAGCCCTCGGAACCGCACGGCACAAGAACGTGGCAGCTGGGTTTGGAGGTCTCGGCAGCCCCGAGGTCACGAGGCGCGAGAGGCAACGGGAGGGCCATCGGCAGTCCTGTCACGTCCGTGGCGCGGCCGCGAGCCTGTGTTTGTTTGTGGCTCCGTCCATATATAGTAAAACCACAGGACACGCCTGGGAACGCGGCTTGGCTGGGCACTCCTTGGGGAGGGCGGGCGGGGTGAGGGGGAGGCGCTGGGCTGGAACCTTCGGCGAGCACAGCCAGGCCTCGGGATCTGAGAAAGTGGGGCCAGGCCTCCCGCCTGGGCAAGGGCTCCGTCCCCGCCCCGGCCGTGTTCTCAGGGCCCCGCACCACGCGGCCGCGCTGGGTCCAGGGTCCAACGGGAAGAGTGGGGCTCCGCGGGCCCTGTCTCCCAGGGCTGGGGTGAGGGCCCCGCAGCCCCATGGCCCAGGGCAGGGCCGGGCTGCCTAGGGCCCCCAGGCCCTGGGTGTCACCCACGGGTGACGGAGAGCTGGTGACAAATCAGGGAACGTGAGGCATACCCTGCGCTCCTGTCCACTGAGATCCGACGCTGGCTCGCTCGCCTCCCTGCCCAGCCACCCCCAGACACGGCAACGAGCAGCCCCAGAGGCCTCGGACCGGGAATGTCCGGCCGGTTCCCCTGGCGACGGCCCCAGGCCTCCAGCCTGGGGAGCTCAGCCCCTCTCTGGCCTGCGCCTCCCGGCAAGGGCATGCGTGGCTGCTGACCGGGGGTGGGGCGGGGCCCCGGCCTTCCCATCCCCGCCGCTCAGTCGCCCACTGGTCATCCCTGGGCCCCCTCCTCTGGCCTCCTGGGGCAGGGGTTCTCCCACGATGGGCGGAGGCAGGCCGCAGGGCCACCACAGCCGCCCCTGCCGGCCCAGTGCGGAGACCTGGGCCCTTGAAGTGAGTCTCCCCCACACTCATCCAGACGGGTGGGCAGGCACGTCCCCACTGCGGCCCTGACGGATTCACCCTGACAGGCAGGCACACCGGTGCCGCCCCCGCGCCCCCTCCCCCCCAATCCAGGGGTCCTGCCCCTCAGCAGCGAGGACTGCCCTTCCCCGGGCATGTGGAAGCGACTGGGATTCAGGCCCTGGCTGCGGGCCCAGCCGGCCAGGGAAGGGTCAGCAGCCAGGGCAGGGACAGCGGTGTCGGCCGCCCCTGCCCCCTGGAGTAGGAGGCCCGGGAGGCTCCACGCCCTCCCAGCTCTGGGCCGGGCCCAGCGCGCCCCCGCCAGGCCCTCACTGCCCCCGCCAGGCCCTCACTGCCCCCTCCCTTCCCAGACACTTGCCTGTCATCTGGGTTCCAAATTCCCCCTGCCTCGGACGAGGGAAGTGACCCCCCTGGCTGGTCACAGGGCAGCCTGGCCCGTGGCCTGTGGGACGGGCTGTCCCCATGCAAAACCTGTGTGAGTGGGCAGGACAGTGTTCCGCTGGGCCTCAACCTCCCCTCCAGCCCTTCGGCCCCCGGGTCAGAGGGGCCAGCAGGTCAGCACCCCCGAATAAACAATGCCAGAGCCTCCTCCCAGGTCAGCCCCTCTGCACGCCGTACTTCCAGTTCAGGAGGCTAGCACCCTGGGGTGTGGGGAGGTGGGCTGGGTCCCCCACCCTGGGGACGGGAGGGAGGGAGCCGGTGAAGGGGAGGGACTGGGGGTGGGAGACGCAGGAGGGGCGTCGGGGTCCAGCCACCGGCTTCCCTGGGCAAAGACAGGTCGAAGGCTCCCCAGGACCTCAGGGCACCTACTGTGTGCCAGGCCCGGGAAGAGAGCCGGGCATTCAGGCAACACGCAAACAGGGACCTCGTGCACCGACAGCGCCTCGGTGGGCCCGGCTCGGCCCGCTGCCGCCTCCACGTCAGACAGTCAATCCCACCAACGCCCACGGAGACCACCTCACGCTCGGGTACCTGCCACCAGAACACAAGCCACGGCCCCTCTGAACGGGCGCCCCAGTCGGGGACAGAGGGCCTCCCAGAGAAGCGACATCTGAGCCAACAACCGAGTCAGCGCCCGGGGCAGAGGGTGCATCCCGCGCAGAGGCCCTGGGGCAGGCTGGGCGCCCGTGGGCGGGCGAGGAACAAGGAGGGGCCTGAGCCTCCCGGGCCCGTGGGGCAGGGACAGGGGTCGGGGAGTGCTCTGAGCCCAGTGGGGGTCACGAGGGACTCTGCAGGGAAGTTACGGGGGGTGGTTTATATGGGTAACGATCCTGGGCCCGCTGGGGGAGAGGGACTAGCGGGGCCGGAATGGGGAGCCCGTGGATGGCTGGTGTGGTCCTCGGACAGGAGCCTGTAGCAGTTGGGGGACAGCAGGGTCGGGGAGCGGGCAGCGGGGTGGCAGTGGGGGGAGGCCAGGCTAAGCTGGGCTCCCAGATTTGTGAGGCCCTGGGGGCACCCCACCTCCCTTCCAGCTGGCCAACCAGGCTCACATCCTGAGCGATGGGGACTGTCCCTCAGCAGCTCGATGACCCACATACCCTTGGCAATTCTCCGATGGCCGGCTAGTTCCAAGGCCCCTCCCCGGGGTCATCGAGCCTGTCTGCCCCCATCTCGCCGGCCTGTGGTCCTGGTTACAGGGGTTCCCCTCCTCGGGGGTCCCAGGAGCCCTTCGAGGCTGCCCCGTGTCTCAGTCCTACGACGTTCCTTACCTCGGAAGGCTTGTCCCCAGCCGCTTGGCTGCACAGAGCTGTGAGCCAGTGGGAGCCACTGTTGTGTCCCCTGCACCTACGCCCTGGCTCGGGTCCGGAGGAAGGGCCTGGCAGGACCAGGCAGGTCCTGAGTGCATGGCTGTCCCCCCTGCCCCCCCACCCTGGCATGGACACCGGCATCATCGGCCTCACGCCCTGGGCACGTGCCGCGGGGCCCTGGCCCAGAACACCCTGACCCGGCCCAAAGTCCGAGCTCTCTGTGCCTGACCGAGCGCACCCCCACCCCCTGCGGGAGGACCTCTCCCCGCTCGCGCGGCCCCCAGCGAGCAGCCCTCACGGGCAGGGAGCCCGGCGAGGCCGGTGCAAACCCTCCGAGGGCTCGCCCTGCCCTGGCCCCTCGCCTGCTGCAGGCCACGGGCCGCAGGGCCCTCCACACGGAGCAGCGCTCTGGCCCTCCGTGCCGGCTGTGAACGGCGTGGGCGCCCCCACAGGGCAGGCGCCTGGCGGCCTTCGGGAGGTCACAGCCTGTCCCGCACCACCCAACATAGGACGCCGCCCACCGGACTCCTGGCACCCCCTGCACCCGGCCAACGGCGGCCCCGCACACGGAGCTGCACCCGACAGCGGCCTGCCCCTCAGAGTGACTGGGGTCCTACTGTGCGCACTGGGCACCCCCGAGCTGGGTCCGCACTGTCTCTCAGCTGTGGCCGGACACCGGTCCCCAGAACGACGCACGAGACTGGGTGGGGCAAGCGTCTGCCACCTCGGGAGCCGGCCCCACCGGCACACCACGTGTGTCTGTGCTCGTGGGCCCATCGCTGGCCCAACCGCGGAATCAGCGCCCAGCACGAGGGCCCGAAACAGCTGCCAAGGGCACAGGACGGCCTTCAGACCACTGCCTGGCCCTGGGGTTTTTGCCCCCTCCCCACATGTAGCGAGCACGTCGGAAACTGGTCCCGGACACGCTCAGCGTAGTGCCCGCCGTCCCGTGGCCGGGGGGTGTGTTGCGGGGGACGCCTGCCGTCAGCATTCTGCACGGAGCCGGGGCCGACTCTGAAGGGCTCCGCCGATTCAGGGCCCAGGGGCCGGCCAGCCCCCAGCCCCCAGCCCCCAGCGTCCAGCGTCCAGGAGGCCCTGCCCAGGGTGCAGCACCTGCACAGCAGAGTCCCCAAGACGAAGCCCTCGCCGGGCCATCTGCTCTGTCACCTTTTCTGCATACAGCCTGGCACGGCAGAGCAGGCTCTCAGCGCCCCCCCCGCCCCCCGGCCCCCCGGCCCACGCACATGCGGGCAGACAATGGGATCCACAGCTCTGGAGCCTGAAGCCCGAGGGGGGCACAGGCACCCCTGGACTGCCTGCACCCTGCAAACCCTGTGGAGTTGAAAGAGTGGCCAGGCCCCCGACAGCCCAGGGACTGGGGCCAGACAGCCGCGACAGGCCCGCAGCAGCCGCCGCTATTGTGTGGGCGGGATCTCCGCCGTCTGGGACCTGGACCCACCCTGGCACACAGATCCGAGGGCGGACACGCCCATCCCAAAGGCTGGGCTCAAGTCCCTGGCTGTGACAGCCGGCGCCTGCCCCCAGCCCGGTGGCTGGACCCAGGGGGACGGTCGCAGAGGTCCATCTGTAAAAGGCACCTTGAAGGGGCTCAGGCGGACAGACAGACACGTGTGTAAATTACTCCTCATGCAGGTGGTGGGGGGGGGGAGGAGCTCCCGCCAGTGCCTCTGCCTGGTGCAGCCCGAGGATGGCGGAGGGGCAGGGAGCCCACCTCCTCCCTGGAGGACCTGTCCGCACCCCCGGAGCCACTCAGACCCTGACTCCAGCCAGCTGCATGCGGACGGCAGGCAGCCCCGCTGAGGGCGGGGCGTGGGGGGGCACTTCCTGGGAGCCCAGGCTGGTGAGTGGGCCCCCGTGGCTGCTGACAGCCCCCAACCCCATGCCCCATCGGCCTGTGGGCCCCCAGCAGCCTCCTTTGGACTCAGGCCCCCAGGGCAGTTTTTGAGTCTCCAAATCTTTAGGGGGTCTGTGGCCTAGAGGTGGAGCCCGTGGCTGCTGGGTGAGCTGACAACCCCTCACCGGGGACCCAGACAGAGCGGCCCTGGGAACCGAGCCCAGAGCTGGGACGCCAGACCCGGTCCCAGAGCCAGTCCAGGCGCACCGTCAGCATCCCCCCCCCCCCCCCCCCCCCCCCCCCCCCCGCCCCTTCTGGACCAGGTCGGCCCCGCTGGGGGCAGAGACCCGGCTCCCGGAGGCAGGCAGACACAGCCCCTCCCCTCCCCTTCCCACTCCCTTCCAGCCTCACCAAGTGGGGCGCAGGGCTGCCCCTGCTGCTCCCACACCCTGGCCCCGCCCGCGCCCCAACTCACCCGCGCCTGGACCGGGCGCGCCACTCAGGGCTCCCGGCCCGACAGGCCAGGGCGGGTCTCTGCGGCACGGGCCACTGTGGGGTCCGAGGGGCCTCGCCCCAGTCCCCAGGAGCTGCGACACGGGCTCCCCCACCCCCGAGGCTGGCTGCTGGCGGCCCACTGGACGCTCCGGGCCCTCTGCGCCTCGGCCTCTCGGGACCCCTCCCCAGGTCCCTCCCCACATCCCTCCCGGGCCCCTTGAGGCCCCCTCCCGGCCCGATCCCGCAGCTCGCCGCCGCGCTCCTGCGCTCATACCGTGTGGAGAGCTCGGGGCGCCGGACAGGCACAGGGTCTCAGCTGGCGGTGCGGCCCGGCTGCAGGAAATGCCAGAAGACTGATCCCAGCGCATTCGGGGAGGGAAGGAGGGAGGGAGGAGGAGGAGAGGAGCGAGCAGCTGCAAAACCCGGGCGGGATCGGCCGTGCCGGAGCGGGCACCAGGGACCCCGGTCCCTCCAGTCCCCGCGGGTTCTCTGCCTCTCCCAGGCCCCTCTCCCTGGCACACTCGGGGGCTCATGTTCCCTGAGAAGGTCCTTCAGAAGTCAGTCTGGACACCACCCCGAACACGGACAGGAGGCTGGGAGGGGTGGGGGAGGTGGCCAGTGGGACTAGCCTCTAGGGGTTCTTGCATTTCGGGGTGCAGGGAGCACCATGGTCAGGGATGTGTGCCCCACATCAGCCCACCACAGCCAGAGGGTGGGGTGTCCTCTCTCTCTTTCCGAGCCCAGTAGACCGTTCCCGTGTCCTCCCGTCACTGAGGCCACCAGAACACGGGAGGGACACCAGAGCGCTGACCCCTGTGCCACATGTGCGCTCCAGGTCCCTCGTCACCTTTTGCTCAGGGTTCTCCGGCTAGAAGCCCACCCCGCGACTTCCTGCTGGGGGTCCCCCTCATCCCTTCTACCTCCAGACAGCATCTGAGGCCCCAGAAGTCCTCTGGTGTGGAAAAGACCCTCTGGTCCGATGGCAACCCCAGACAGATGCAGGGGGGCGAGGGGCCTCCCGTCTCCATCTGGGGTCCCCCCTCCCCTGGAGGCGCTATGAGCTCCGGCCTGGTCTTCGGACCCCACAGTGCCTGGTTCTGGCATCTGTCCCCCGAGGCCAGGCTGCTTCCTGGCACCCTCGGCCAGGTAGGGTGCTGGGTGCTGCGGGCGAGGGTGGCTTTTCCCAACCAGAACTTCCCAGCTGGTTCCCATGCGAGGGGCCGGGCAGCCTCCTTCCCTGTCAGACCTGCTGGTGGTCAGGTGCGTGTCCCTCTGCTCCCTTCCTGTTGGGCTGAGAGCCTGGGGGCAGCTCTAAAGCACCCCTGGTTGGGACACAGCAAGACCAGCAGGCAGGGCTGAGGGGGGCAGCCTGCGCAGCTCTGGAGTTGCATCGTGTCCTTGGAGGGGAGCAGGGGCAGGGTCGCCGCCCTAGCTCCGCCCCACACAGCCAGCCAGGAGGGCGCCCCGGCCATGTCCCTTCCCTCCTCCCGGCTGCAGCACCCCGCCCGCCCGCCCGCCTGGTTAGGGCAGGTGTGGACTTCCCCAGGCCAGGAGCTCCAGCCCGCCATGCTTATCAGAGGGGCCAGGGCTTATGGGGTGGTGCTGCTGCAGCCTGCTCTGAGCTCCCCCAGGACAGCCTGGTCCCCTCAGAGTCACCTTGTGAGGCCGAGTGCTGGCCCTTCCTACTGCGGGCAGCCGTGGGGTGATTCAGGGCTTGGGCCAGCGTGGGTGAGGCTGGTCCTGTCACCCCCAGGGCAAGTTTGTCCCAGAAACGAGGCCTGCAGACTTTGCTAGACGCTCAGGGGCAACTCTGGAAACGTCGTCGCTGTGCACCCCTCACCCCCTTATCTGGGGAGTGGGGCTGAGCTCACCCCCACGAGGCCCTGCCGCGGTCTCCGCAATGCAGCGGCTCACCACAAAAATGGCCGTGGCTACTGCCCGGTATCGGTCGCTCGGTACATGCCAGGCACCGTGTTCCCGTTTCCACGCACGGCCCACTGCGTCCACTCCTCTACCCGGAGGTGGTCCCCATTCTCCCCATCCCTCCAGGCTCAGTGCCCAGCTCCAGGCCAGGCAGCTGGGCAGTGGCCAAGGCAGGCCTGCATGCCGGCTGCAGCTCCACCCAGGGGAGCCCCGGCCCTCCAGCCTGGTCCCCGTGGGCTCAGCCCCCACAGAGGAGCCCGAGGGAGTGTGTGGGGACGAGCAGAGAGGCACCGTGTCCCCACACGTGTCCTCAGACGTGTCCCGCCCCGGCCCCCGGGGGAAGCTGAGTGCTGGTATCTTCCAGGGCTGAGTCACCAGGTCAGGTGTGGGCACCTCGAAACCGCCACTTTCCGTTCTCTCAGGAAACCTGTGACATTCAGCGGCACAGTCTCCCTCGGGGCCTCTGGGCAGCTCCGGCACCGAGCTGGGGCCTCCAGAACAGGCTGCTGCCGGTGGCCCCGCCTCTCTGTCCTTCTGTCTGTCTGTCCGTCTCCACTGTCCCTCTCTCACGCGCACAGGTTCTACAGATTAACACAGCTCGGCCCCGACTCGGGTTGACAGCGACGTACCAACAATGACCTGATGACGTGGAACGTCCCATCTCTCCTGGTGGCAGTCCCTGTCCTGCTACCTGCGAGAACAAGGAGGCGCTGTTCACAGGACGAGGCAGCGGGACTGTCCGGGAGGCTGGAAGGGCGGTGGGCCTGTGGGGAGCATGCAGCGCTGAGTCCCGTGGGGGTGGGGGCGGGGCGCTGTGCTGAGCTTGGAGCAGCTCACGGCTACAGGCAGCTCTTGGAGCGGAGGTCCCGGGCCCCCAGACCATGTCCAGCTGTCCTGTGTGGGGTCAGTGTCCACTGCACTTGGCACCGCGGAGCGAGCACGGCCGAGGTGGGCGTTGCCCGGAGATGGGGTGACGCGCCCTGGAACCGGTCGTGGTAACGAAGAAACCCCAGGGGCTGGACAGCGCCTGGAGGAGGAGCGGGTACTGCAGGAGGCTGCCACGTCCCCGGCCTCGGACTCCCGCAGGGCCACCGGGAGCCGAGCTAGATTGCCTGCCGCCTCTCCTGCGGCCAGAGCAGCCTCAGACGCAGGAGCTGGGACTCCGCGGGAGGAGGCGCTGGCGGTCCTTAGCGGCCTCGGATTGCGGACTCATCCCTCCAGTGCGCGCCTCCGCCGTCGCGTGGACACGCCCCCTCTGTGCGCCTGCGCCTCCCATCGCCGTTTCCCTCCGCCCAGACCACCCGGAACGGTCTCGTGTGGAACTCCTCCGCTCGACCACATCTGCGAAGGCCCTGGGTCCCGGTGGGGTCACGCTGACAGGTGCGGGGTTTGGCTGTGGACGCAGGTCACCCTCTGCAGCGGGCGACCTTGCGGATCACGCAGCCACTTTGCCTTGGCGCAGCTGCGAGGCCGCGGCGCCGGCCTGCCCTTGGCACCGTGAACTTCTTCCCCGTTCTAAATGCCTGTGTTCCGGGTCTTCCTTTGAGGACGCGGACTCGGGGTCCCGAAAGGCGCGGGCTAGAGCTGGTTCAGGCCTGCCCGCCCCTTCCTGTCCCCAGCCTCAAGCCCCCGGCCTGCCCTGGGTTGAAGCGGGTGGAGCAGGCAGTGGGGGCTTTCCCGGCGGCACGGAGGCTGGAGCCTTGGCCCGCGGCCGCCCTCTCGGTTTGGAGATAGCCCGCCAGGAACAGCGGGACGAACCCATTACGCGAACTTGGACAACACACTGTTTACAAAAACCAACCCTATTTTACCAAGTAAAAAACACTGAGTGAAAAGAATGGTGCCGTTTTGCATTTTTTGAGAGCCCGAGTCTCACTGGACTTCGGTCTATTGCAATATCACACGTTGTGGCCTCGGGAGCAGGCCAGCAGGCTGCCGGGCGCCCCTCACACTGCCGGGCCCGGCAGAAAGGGGCACGTGGTTGCCCCCGGGGGGCGCGGCAGGAAACGGGGTGTCCTCACTCATCTCACTCACCCACCTGCTGGTGCAGAGGAGACAAGGTGGGCTGTCCAGGTCGGCTTTCGTGAGGGGAGCGCGAGCCTGGCCCTCCACCGCGGCTGCACCTACGGCCAGGGCAGGCCCCCAGCTCCTGTCTGTGCCTGGTCCTCTGGGGGCGGGATGGGGAAGGCCCGGCCCCCCAGGCACCAGCGATGCCTGCGGATCCTCACTCATGAACACTGGTGTTCCTGGAAGTCCTCGCCCTGCCACCCACACAATCCTCACTCCGCTGACCCTGACCGCCCTGGTCGCTATCGAAGGTTCTGCTTGTTCCAACGTGGGATGTTACATTTCTGCCTCGGGCCTCTTGCGAGTTAACACAGTCCAGACGGCACCGTTCGGCGGAACTTGCTGAAATGACGGAAACGTGCGAAAACCATGTGGCCTGAGGGGGCCCGCCGTTCATCTCCGTGGCGGCGGAGCGAGCTTCGAGATCCATGAAAATGCCAACCAGCTGGCCCAGGCAAACTCCAGCGCTGAGCCTGGAAACCCGCGATGAACTCGGCTCCTGGGGGTGGTGGGCCCACGGCCACAGGATCCACGCCCACGCTGCCTGGGCTCTCCCTCCCACCCCCTGTCACCAGTGGTGGGGGGACAGATGCCTCCGCTTGCTGCTGGCTTATCCTCGGGACCCCCAGCCGCCGCTGAGAGTGGCTGGGTGGTCATGCCCACGGGGGCGTCAGAGCCTAGGAGGCAGGAAGGACAGGCTGCCAGTGGAGGGCGCCCTGTGCAGAGCCACGCAGCCACCTAAATAGACGGCGGTTTTATCGGGTTTCAGGCAAACCACACAGAAAAGTAGCCCATCTCACAGCTGACGTCTGGCCGTGGTTGTCAAAGGGGCGGGAGAGGGCCGGGACGGGGCCCGCACCTCCCCCGGGTCTAACCAGACCAGCTCCGTCTTTATTCCCGGTCAAAAGTGCCGTTGCTCCCATGAGTTTTCCAGTGGAGGCAAAAGTCTGTCCCTCGGAAACTCGGAAGGGGGTTCTGGGCCGCATTACAGCCCCTGTGGGCGTCCCCCGGTTCTGTGCACCCGGGTGACAGTGGTCCTCAAAGGACATGGCAGGGGCTGTGGGGAGGGCGGGCATGTCCACGCACCAGCCTGGGCCTGGGCCTGGCTTTGTCGGAAGGGCTGCTGCTGGCCGGGCCCCAGCTACATTGGGCGAGGGCCTCGTTCCACTCAGGGTGCAGATGCAGGGCCCCAGTTACGAGGGTTCAAGCCGCTGCTTACAGCCACCAAGTGCAGGTTCCAGGGGCCTGGTGCGTGTGTGTGGGGACCCACAGACCACTGGAGGGGCCAGGTGTCAGCTCTCTTGTGTCCCGGGGTCTCTCATGCACCTTCAACCCAAGAACCAGGGCTCCAGAGAGTGGCTGAGGCAGACAGAGAAGGTTAGGGCGGGGGGCCGTGCGGCAGGGTGGCTCTGAGAGGGAGGGCCCCGGCCTGTGCACGGGGACCAGTGGCTTCTGGAATGGAGCCGAGGGGAGTGAATGGGGAGTTTGCCAGGGCTCGACTGCATGAGGGCGGAGAATACTCGGGGTGGGGGGGGATAAACAGTGGGAAGGCACAACCTCAGCCTGGCGTGCACTGCTGCCCCCTCCACAGGGGCATGCTCTCCCCAGCCTGCACCGCTTCTGCTTGTAATCCCACTGGGTTTCAGCTCTGGGCTCGCCTCCTCCTGGAAGCCCTCCCAGATAGCCCCTGCTCATCAGCTCCCCCATTCCCCTGGGAGCTGAGTGGTCCAGCCACGAGCCCTGGGGCGAGGTCGTCTCTGCCTGGGTTGGTCTGTCAGGGTCCGTGGAGGCCAGGGTTCTCAGCCCAGCTCAGGGGCCCGCAGATCCTGGGAACATCGGTGATTTGCGAGGACTCTGCTGTCCCGGCCCTCGGATTGCTACCTCCTTCCGCTCCAGTTGGGGCGGTTCTGTCGCGTCCCACACGCCTGTTGTGTGGGCTCGAGTCTGGTCTCTGTGGGTGGGCTGGCCCGAGCATCGCCGCCCAGGGATCCCAGCGGCTATGGGGCACCCCCAGCACCTCCATCCTCCTATCTCACAGCTGCCTTGCGCCCCCGCAGCCAGTGGGGTCTTGGACCTTAAGCAAAAGGGGCAAGAGCAGGTGGGATGTGGTGGGTGGCGACAGGCACCATGGCGGGGCTAGTGACCCACATGGGGACAGACGTGGCTGGCCCCCCAGGTCCTGGTGGTTGTTTCTGCCCCCTCCTCATTTCCCACCTGTTTTCCAAGGGAGGTGGCAGCCCCCCTCCTCACAGAGCCCCTCCCTCTCCCTAGCCCTCAGTCCCGCTACAAGGAGCGGAGGGGCCTGGAGATGCGGAGGCCTCCCCCTCCTCAGATTTCCGTGTCCTCGGCGGGGGGCCGGAGGGGCCCAGGCCCCAGAAGTTTCACTGGCTCCCCAGGAGATGCTCCCTTCCCTTGGGGCAGGCAGCACCCAAACCCGAGCACAGCAGGCAGGCAGCAGATTCAGCTCCCACGGGCTCCTGGGCTCCCCAGCCTGCCCGCCCAGGGCATGGGACGCCGACACTCAGGCTCTGGGGTGGGGTCCCCCCACCTCCGAAGGGGAGCTGGAACTGGCTTGGGGGGCCTAGCTCCAGGCCTTTCACCACCCCCCCCCGCCGCGCCCCCATGCACAAACGCCTCCCTAGTTTACAGATGGTCGCTGGGAGCAAAGCACCGTGAGCGGTGGGCTTCCAGCTCGGGGGGGAGAGGGTTTCAGGGAGGAGCAGGGGTCCCCCTCGGGAGTCTCACTGCCCTGGACTCTCCAGGGACACCTTGCCAGGAAAGCAGCCTCGGCCTTGGGGACAAGGGTGTGGCAGCTGGAAGGGGACACCTCAGGCCTGTGGCCACCTGCACCCTTTCCCACCAGGCCCCTTTGCTCTTTCTGGCTCTTTCTGACCAGGGCAGGTCTTTAAGGGGCCCTTGAGTGAGCTCCTTCCCGACAAACAGGAGGCTGAAGGAGAAGGGGAGGAGGCCTCGGGAATGTCGCCCTCCCCTCCCTAAGTGAGGAGGCACAAAGGGCACCCCGCCCCAGGGAACCCCCACCCCAGTCCTGAGCACCAGCCTCCTGGCAGGCCCGGGCGGGGCCCATGTGTGTGTAAGGGCCCTCCCTGACCCCCGGCCTCCTGCTCCCTCTCCAGCCTGGGCTGGGGTGCCCCCCCCAGCCCTGAGACAGGGGCACAGGGAATGCTTAGGGCAGAACCACGGTGGCCCATCTGGCAGGTCCGCAGGGCCTCCTCAGTCCCATGGGGGCAGGGTTCAAGGCGGACCCTCCTCTTTCAGCAGGGCCACCCGGGCTTGTGCTGCCCTACCGGGGCTCTCTTGCAGAGTGTACCCCTTTCTTAGAGAGCCCCCTGAAACCCCGGATGAGGTTCTCTGTTTATGTTGCTGGCCCCTGGATACCACGGCTCTGCACCCTACTCTTGTGCACGGGCCGCAGGGGCGCCCCTGTCATTGGTCCGGGGTGTGAGCGGTGGCTGGTCGCCAGTCGTTCACTAAGAAGCTTCGCTCCTACAGGGAAGTGACACCTGGACCATCTGGATACTGAAGAGTGTCTGATGACCCCTCCCTCCCTCCAAGGTCACTGCCGAGCCAGGGTGGGGAGGCAGGGATGATTCACCCAAAGACCTGAGGCTCCGGCTTAGTAACGGCTCTGCGAGTTGTATAACCCTGCGAAGCCTCAGCCTCCTCTATCTGTAAAACGGAGGCTTTCTTAACATCGGCCTGTGCGGGGCTTTTAGGGGGGCTGAGGACAGAAGGCCTGGGAGTGGCAGGGCCCTGCCTGGCTCGAGGGGCGCTGCGTTAGCCCTGCCGGTCAGGATGGGTGGGCTCCGGTGCTGGGTGGCCCCGCTCCTGCACGGCACCCGCATCAGTTCATTCACTGACGGAGTTGCCGGCTCCTTGTCCCTGGGAGGGGGGGGCGGATCACGCCGTGGACATGGGAGGCCTCTGGCACTGGCTGCTCGGCTGGGCACAGCTGGGGTCTCAGCTGTCTCCCCAGGGGCTCCTCTGACCCCACCGGTTCCCAGCACCTTTGGCAAGTTCTCCAGCGCCTTCCGCAAACCCTTACCCCACAGTGACCCCTGCTGGGCAGAGGGGAAGTTGCTCTGGGGCGTAGTGGGGAAGCAGGAACACCGCATCCCCTCCCCTGGGGCACGAGCAGCATGGCTGGCACCTGCCAGCTGGCCAGAGCCACGGCGATGCCGCCACACGCCAAGGAACAGCCAAGGTGGCAGACGCACCACTGGATGCTGGGAAGGGGCCTGGACCGCCTTCTCCCTCATGGCCTTGGAGGGAGCCAGCCCCACCCGATCCCGGACTTCCAGCCCGCAGCCCCTGGGGCTTGGTTAGGGCAACCCCAGGAAACTCAGACACACCCACGGTGCCCTCGGGAAGACCGAGGCCTCCAGGGGCCCTGACGAGGGTCTGGGGGAGGGGCTCAAGAGTGGTGACAGGTGGACAGCAGGTGTCTGCAGGGGCACTGAGGCCGGACAGTGATTGGCCAAACCAGGGACCTTGCCAATGTCTCAGGTGCAGGAGAGGAAAGGGGCTCAGGGGCTGGGCAGGAGCCCATCAGCAGGGGACCTGGCCCAAGGGTCTCTCCTCCTCCACCAGGGAGGCCTCCCGGCAGCTTCCCCTCCATCCAGTTCTCTGTGCTGGCGTCCTGGCTGCGCCGGGAGCCCCTCCAGGCTGGGGTGGTTCCCGGGGTCCCAGTCGCTGGGGGCCTCCGGCTGAAGCAGTGGGCCCCAGCCTGGTCTGCAGGCTCAGTAAGGGGGCTTCGGGAGCGGGGAGCCTTCTCCGAGTCCGCTGAGGGGGGCCGCCCCTCCCGTCCTGTGCCCTCTGCGGAGAGCCCGCAGGGCAGGGGAAGCGCCTGCACCGGAGGAGACGGAGGACGCGGAGGAGAAGGGGAGACGGGCCTCGCCAAGGGCGCGGAGCGAGCGGAGATGTGAAGCAGCTGACAGGCCCCATCTGTGCCAGGAGCCGGCACGGCAGGGCTTCTCCTTCACACACCTGACAAGGACGGCCAGGCCAGGCCTGTGGCTGCCGCCGGTGGCGGGGTGCCGGCGACAGGGGGCTCGGAGTTCTGCAGCCGTGGCCTCCCCAGCCAGGGCGTGGGGCGGCTGGCGCTCAGGCCCACTCTGAGAGGGTGCCGCCCCCACGCTGCTCCCACACCTGGGCAGCCTGACAGCTGGGCCTGTCTCCAGGCTCTGTGGCTCTCGGGGGACCGGAGCCCAGGAGGAGGGGTCGCCAAGCAGCCCCTGGCCTGGCAGCCACATGAGGGTCTGGAGATGGGAGTGAGGAGGAAGTCCCTCCTGGGTCCCGGGGTGGACAGGGGTCTGGTAGGCCGACATACGCTGGGCAGCCAAGGACTGCCGTCCAGAGCCCGCCGGCTGCGGACCCAGCCAGCCAGCTAAGGTGCGACACTCGCCAGCTGCGGATAAAGTCTCAGAAGAGCCGAGGCCACGTCCCGGGTCACCCTGGCGCCGGGCACTGCGCAAGCATCTCCAGCTGGCAGCACCTGGGACGTCCTTGGTGCTGCTCCAGTCTCCCCCGGGAGTGCGAGGAGGATGCGGGAACCTGTGTGAGCCCCGCTAGGTGTGGGGGACCCGGGGAGGCAGGCGGGTCTGGGGGAGGGGGGCACACCCAGGGCTGTGGAGGCTCCTTAGGAAGGGAGGTGGGAACTCAGCGCCCCCATTCTGCCACCCCCATAAGCCCTGCTCCCCACCAAAGCATCTGAAGTACACGCTCACAGCTTTCTCCCGGCTCCTGGGGGCTCCCGGCCCCCGCCCCACCCTGGCTCCAGGGTTCCCTTCAGGAGAAGAGAGCCTGGCTGACCTCACGGGACAGAGCTTCGACCCGGCTCTGCAAGGACTCTGGTGGCCCTGAGGGCCCTCCTCCAGGGGCGGGGCGGCATCTGGGGCCACAGTCGGAGCACCAGGGCCCCAGTGACCTTCCCCCCTCAGCTGCCCACCCCCTCCTTCCCCGGCTGCAGGAGAAAGGCTGGGGTTGGCACTCCTCTTGGTCCAATTAGTATTCCTCTCTCGCCTCCTCCAGCCAGCCAAGTAAGTGGAGGGGCAAGGAGCCAGCGGGATGTCGAGGAACTGGAGCGGGGTCCCCTGAGGGGCAGCGGGGGGGTGCAGCATCTGGACCAGCAGACACCGTCTCCTGGGAGGGTGCAGTCCAGCCCGGGGCTCCCGCAGGGCCAATGGGGTGCCGAGCAGAGCCGGTGTCCCCGGCCACGGCCCGGCTCCCATGGGAAGGGCTGGGCGCCTCCCTGCTGGGCGGGGGGCTCAAACCCGTGGCGGGCTGCTGTGGGGCCAGCGGCCCTGGAGGCGGAGCGGGGCGGACACCAGGCACCCACAGAGCCCGCAGAGGCTGCGTTGGTGGAGCCCTTGACCTCGCACGGTGCTGCCACGCGCTCCGAGCCCGGGGCCTTTCCCCACCTCGGCCTGTGGGCCCCCTTCATGTGCCAACCAGCCTTTCGAGAGCCGCCTACGTGTCTGAGACTCCAATTTGTTGGCTCTCGAGGAGGAGTGGAAAATGCAACATCAGAACGAATGGATGTTCCATTAAATTTCTCGTGACAGCGGCCAACACACCTGCAGCCTCGTGTCCCAACATGCTGGGCACCCCCCCCCCCCACGGGGGCCTTTAATTCCCTGGGAACCGGTGAGGTGGGCGTGGTTCCTGGCGTCACCGTCCCATCTCACAGATGGGGAAAGGGAAGCAGGGAGGCCACTCGGGCACATGCCCAGGGATGCGCGGCCAAGGAAGGACGGAAGGACAGGGGAGGTGACCTCAGGCCCTTGACGTAACCTTTGTCAGTGTGACCCGCCGGCCCGTGGAGGGTCCCGGGCTGGCCGCTGCTGCCCCCTGCGAGCCTCTCTCTCCCATGCCCCTGAACAGCTTGTCCCTGGGGTGGGTGGCTGGGGGACGGACCTTCCCCGCCTGCACCAGCTCATCTGCCATCCTGTTCAGCGGCCACAACCCTGGGGGCTCTTAAATTCCCTTTGTCATAGGAACAGGCAGAATCTCGGAAAAGTGAGGAATTCACCCAAAGACACAGTGCAGACCTGCTCCGGCACCTGCTCCGGCACCTGCTCCCTCCCCGGCACCTGCCTGGACCCAGGGCAGGGGCTGGGGCCTGGGGCTCGACACGCTCTGCCTCTGCAGTGCCCTGCGGGGAAGTCTCTGCAGCCTGCGTGCGCGCTGGCCCGGGGTCCTCTCTCCAGGGCCTTCAGTCCAAGGAGCGGACGCTGCCCCCCAAGGATGCCAGGAAGCAGCCTGGACCCCAGGCGCAAGGTGGGCTCCCCCCAAGATCTCAGGCCCCAGGGGCCTTCCCTCCCAAGTCTGTTGTTTTTGGTTTTTTAAGAAAAAAAGTGCTGTGGGCAAAAGAAAGCAGATGTCCAGGCAGGCGAGGCTGCGAAAGTGCTTCAGACCCGGAAAGGGACAAACGTGCGCTTACAAGTCCCAAAGCTCCCGCCCCATCTGGCTTCCCCGCCCGGAGGGGCTCGGCGGCGGTCCCCTCAAGGTGGCGCTGCGGGGCCGCCCAGGCGGAGGGACGCGGGACGCGGGACGCGGGCCCGCTTCGGGTGCAATGCAGCAGGCCCCCGGGGCTCCGAGCGACGCCCTGGCGCCCCGCCCGCTGCCCACTCAGCCCCGAGCCGGCGAGGCCGGGCTCAGCGGGCAGACCCAGGCGGGGGCACGAGCGCCAGCCCCGGGGAACTCGGAAGAAGTCAACCGAAAACGCGGCTCCAGCCCCTGTCGCTCCCCGGGCCCCTCCCCACGGGGCTCCAGATGCCCAGGTCCAAGGTCCGCTGCGCCCACCACCGAGGCGGCAGTGAGGCCCTTCCCCCCGCGAGTCCAGCGGGCCCCTGCCCCCCGGGGCGGGTGGCACTCACCGTGCAGCAGGGCATGACGGCGCGGGCTGGGCTGCCTCCTCCCGGCCGGTCCTCGCGGAGCGTCCGAGTGCCGGCTCAGCGCCGCCGCCAGGGTGGGCTGTGAGCCGAGCGCCGCTCAGCCAATGCCGGACGGACAGGCAGCCCCGCGCAGGCTCTTCCGGGGGAACCCTGCGGCTCGGAGCTGCCCGTGGGGGCGCGGGGGGCGTAGAGGGGTCGCCGAGCGCAGGCGTTGCCGGGACTGTGCAGCGAGTGAGATGCAGGGGACAGTGACTCCCAGGGGAGCGGGGGAGACCGGCGTCCCACCGGGCCTCGCAACTGCCCCGTGCCTTCTGCGGAGCCTGCAGCGTCCCCTCCAGCCGCCGCCAGCCGGACCCGCTCTGCAGCTGCCTCCGCCCCAGGGCGCAGCAGTGGGTCCCCGCCCCGCCCAGGCGCTTCTTGCTCCTGTTACCTGACTTCCGGGAGACGCCTGCCTCCCCCCGGGCAGGCTTGCTTAGGGGTCCTGGTGAGAAACAAACACCAGGAAGACCTTCTGAAGAGGCACCCCAGGACCTCCCCCGGCCTCTCCCTCCAGGGGGAGTTGAGGCAGAGTCTGAGGCACAGACAGGGTGGGCAGCAGGCTGAGACCACACAGCCAATCGGGGGTGCAAGGGCTCAGCCTGTCTTCCCACAAGCCAGAGTCACTCCCCCACCCTTGGGGACCCAGTGCCCGCCCAGCACCTGCCCAGCCCAGCCAGGTCCTGCTCTTGCCCGCTCTGCCCACCCCTGCCCAGCTGACTGCTCAGCCCAGCCCTGATCACCCCCGCCTGCCCCACCCTGAGAGGTGGGGGGCGGTGAGGAGGGAGGGAGGGTTGCCCCCAGCTTTGCAGGAGCAACAGCTAAGGGCTCCTTCCCGGGACACTGGCCTGGAGAGCTGCTGGTCCCCCACCTAGAGGGGACCCCTTGTGGGGCTGTGGCCCAGACTGTCCTGATCCGGAATGCGTTAGCCGGGCTGTCCCTGGTCCTCTGCTGTGGGCATGGCTGCCTCCCCGGGGCCAGCCTCTCCCTCACGCACTCAGCGTCACCGCTGGCCCGCCTGGGGAGGCCCCCCAGCTGCGGCATTCAGGGCTGGGGGTGTTCAGAGGGGCGGCCTGGGTGGCCCTGAGTACTCCTGTCAGCATGACCGGCGGGCGGACCCCTCCCTTGCCCCAACTTATCACATCAAGTGGAGGCAGAAAACCCTGAAGACCCACAGCCTGGGGTTTGTGGACCGCAGCACCCCCCCCCACCCCCCACATGCTGGGCAGGTCCTGCAACTTCTCTGCACCTCAGCTGACCCGACCCCTGGGGATAGGGCCGTCACCCCCGCCCCCCTTCTCTCTGCCTTCCCTTTAATAGCGGGACAGAGCACCTTGCAGTCCTGGGTCCAGTCCCCCAGTCCCGAGAGGGCTCAGCGAGAAGCCTGGCTCCCGCTCACCTGGGCTGGCCGGCAGGTAAACGTGCCTGCAGAGGGGCCGGGCCCAGCCCAGGGTTTAGAGACTTCGGAGGCCAAACCCGTGACACCGGGGGGCCCGCTGGGGTGGGGGAGGCTGCACGTGCGCATGGTGGGGGGGGAGCGTGGGGATGGCGAGGGGTTGAGGCGCATGGAGACGTGAGCTGGCTCTCTGCCTCCCTCCCTCCCTCCTGCCTTTGACTTTGCCAAGAAGTCTGGATGCCTTGAGGAGGAGGAGGGGTGGTGAAGATGGTGATGGTGATGGTAATGATGGTGATGATGATGATGATGATGGTGGTGGCCATGGTACTAGAACAACAGAAGTGGGTGCTGTGCCAGGCAGCTGGCACGAGGTGGCATCCCTGATCCTGGGCTCTCCTAGCGGCCTCGTGGGTCCCCCACTCCTGCTCAGTGTGGCAACCGGAGCCAGGCCCCCTTGCTGGCTGTCGGCCAGCCCGGGAGCCTCTCTCCACTCTGCCACTTCCTGCTCTGACTTGCCGCATCAGGACCCCCGCCCCCGCCCTCACCCGCACAGCCTGATGCTCACGGTGGAGTTTCAGACTCCTTGAGGGACAGCGGAGGCCACGTTTTGGAGCAGAGAGTCACCCTGTCCTCAGACAGGCTGCCTTGCGAGGGGCCGGCCCTCCCTTCCAGCAGATGCCCGGAGGCCTCCCGGTGAGCCGCTAATGAGGAGGAAGCCGGCCAGGCCGGCCTTGCTGGCTGCTGGGGGGCCTCTCCGTCTGTCTCCTGCCGCGCCCTGGTCTGTCCGGCCAGCCAGGGCCTGGCTCCCCACCTGAAGCCGCCAAATGTCCTTAATGGTCTCCGCAGTGCCTCCCCTCCTGCCCGCCGGCTCTGCCAGCCCATTAGCCCTGCCGCGGGCCACCTGCGCCGCACCCCTGCTGGCCGCCCGGCTGGCCTGGGAGGCCGGGGGACGTCAGGGCCGGGACGGGAGGAGCTCGTGCAGCCCCAGCGTCTCCGATGGGCGTGCACGCCTGTCCCAGGAGGCCTGGCTCACCGCTGCCCCACTGTGCGACCCGGGGCCGCCCTGCCCTGCCTGGGCCTCGGTTTCTCCATCGTAGAATGAAAGGGCCCGCCCCGTCAGGGCCGGGTGAGGTCTTGTGCAGCAGGGGGTTCCGTGCCGCATTAAACTGTGAAGGGAGGTGCGGTGGGTGCATCCGCCAGAGACCGAGCTGTCCCCGTTTTTCCTTCAACCTGGGCTCCCTGGGCCTGTTTGTACTTGATTTACACATACACACACACATACACACAAGCACACAGGAGCAAAAGGACCCATTCACTGTCCTCCTCCTTCTAGGAACCAACAGTGTGATGTGGGGAGGGGCCCAGGGGACAGCAGACACGCCCCTGGGAGGAAAGGGGCTCCACGCCTGTCCCCCCACTGTGGCCAGGTGGCCCCCACGCTGAAGCTCGCCGGCCTGTGACGCTCAGGAGAGGCCAGAAGTCTGAACTTTGCAGTGACATTTCCCAGCTGGTAAGTGCTGGCGACCAGTGGGAAAGGACTCGGTCCCAGGGAGGGCCAGCAGGCGGCCTGTCCACAGGCTGCAGGACACCGGGGCCGGGAGAGGAGCCTGCCCGGCTGGGTGGCAGTTCTGGGCCGAGAGGGGCCCGACGCCCCCCGGGGTGGGCAACCGTGTGCCAGCTTTGCAGTGCATTAGGCTAGGGCTCTCAATGGTGCCCGGAGTTGGGTCTCTTCCCAAAGCCCCGCCCTGGTGCCTGGGGCTGCCAGGGGGCCCAGCTGGGGAGGGGCCAGCAGGGTGGAGCCCAGTCCTGTGAGAGCCTTCTCTGCCGCAGGCTTCTCCAGGACCAGCGTGTGGGGCTCAGGCTGGCACCCCGACCCCAGCAGTGGGTTGTGAGGCAGAGGCCCCGACACCCCATCTGCCTGGACGGGCTGGTTCATCACGTGCCCCGCGCACTGTCAGCTGCCGCCTGGCTGCCCCCCTGTCCCGCCCTCATCCCCCACAGATGGGCGGGCCCACAGCGGGCCCAGCAGCTATTTCCTGGGGTCGGGGGGGCAAGGAGGATGGGGCTGAACCGCTGGAGCGGAAAGCATCCCCCAACTCACCCCGGCCTGGCCTTCAGGAAGGGCCATGGAAGCACTGAAGGGACAGAAGACCCCTTCGGCCCCACTTCCCAAATCCAAGCCCCCCCCCACCCCCGCAACAGGGGCGGGGCCGTCACTTACCTCCCTGGGCCACAGCTCCGCCCTTAGCTGGGCAGAGTCCGGGGGAGTCACCCGGTCCTGAGGGCACCATCTGGGGGGATGGGGGTGGCGGGTGGGGGCCTCCATGTGGCCACAACCACCTGTGTCCCAGGGAGGGAGAGGACCCCGAGAAGGGGAGTGTCTCTGGGCGGAAGTTTTTCTTCTTTCCACCTCTCATTGTTCCCCGAATTCCCATAATTAACAATGCACAAAGAAGGACAACTTTATAAAACAATTCTGTCGTTGCAAAATGCTTTCTTGTCACGTAGCACATATAGAATGTCTTCATTGGGGCAAAAAGAGAACTTCCTGCAGGATTCTGTTAAAAAATAAACAGGACTGGAGGGCCCTACCCCCGAGTGTGTCCCGCTCCGGGGCCCGGGGAGATTGGGGGATTTTCCATATTCCCTGTGGGGCTTCAACGTCTCCACAGTGACCGTGGGCCATCTTCCTTTTGAAGTGATCAGAAAACACATAAAGTAGTTTGTCTTTGAAAGATAGAAAATGTGGCTTCAGTTACACCTCTCTGTCTGTCTGTCTGTGAGTCCGACCGTCTTTCTGCAGGAGGAAAGTCCCAGGACGAAAGTCCCAGGACAAACACTGGCTGGGCAGGGTCCGCAGCGGCGGGCAGGGACACAGGGAAGTTGGGGGTGGGGGTGGGGCACGAGCACCTTCCAGGCAGCAGGGTGTCCAGGGCACCTGGTCCCTCTCTGGGCTGGAAGGTGTGGGGGGAGGGCGAGCCCCACCCTCGGATTGCAAACGGACTTCAGGATGGGATGCGTGTGGTGGGGAAGCAGCGCCCTCTGGTGGCCAATGAGGAGCCTGCTGGGAGGTCTCTGGGTTGCGGCCACTTGCGGGGGGGCGTGGCTCCGGACCTGCGGTCAGGCGGGGCAAGGTCCTCTGTGACTCCGTAGGGCAAGAATCTGCTGCTGGACCTCAGTGTGTGCTGTGCAAGGGCAGGCCCCGACGGAGGCCTGGCGGTCACCTCTCTTCCCCCCCCCCCACCCCCTATGCTTCCCTCTTCCTGCACAGAGGGGGGTGGGGCGGAGGGGCTCCACATGGGGGGTCAGGACCATGGCTGTCACTCCGTCCTCAGCCCTCTGGTCCCAGAGCATGTGAACTTGGGTGGGGCGGGGCGGGGCCCGCCATGGTCCCAGAGGCATTTGGCCTGGGGTGGTGGGCTACGCAGGGCCCCAGGCACCCTTATATGGCGCCCAGGGGCAGGGACAGCCCCCCGGCCCCCAGGTGGGCCCCATCCCCCAGGGCCCTCTGGAGAACCACCCGCAGCGGCTGGCGCCTCCCCGGCCGCCGGCCCACCGAGAAGTAGATGAGCGGCCGGGCGCTGGCGTGGACGCAGGCCAGGAGGGCGGCCAGCGGGTGGAACACGGGCAGCAGGAAGTTGAGCAGGGGCCTGAGGCTCCAGTAGAGGACGTAGGGCAGGCCGCAGAGGAACAGCAGCAGCCCGGACACCAGCACGACGCCGTAGAGCCGGGGCCGCGGGCGCTGGGAGCAGCAGGCCACCCAGAGGGCCAGGACGAGGCCGGCCCCGCAGGCCACGCAGGCCAGGGACAGCAGCCAGGCGATGCTGGCCGCGTGGTAGCGCACGCAGGCCCCCAGGCGCGCGCCGCCGCGCAGCAGGCCGCAGGCGTGGGCGGGCAGCAGCACGGCCGGCGGGGTCAGGGCCCAGAGCAGGCCGCACACCACGCCCGACGTGTGTCTGGGGCGGCGGCCCTCGTAGCAGGCGGGGAAGAGCTCGGACAGGCAGAGCTCCAGGCTGAAGGCCGCCAGCAGCCAGAGCCCCGCGGCGAACCCCACGAAGGTGACGATGAAGTAGAGGGTGTCCTCGGAGCCCAGGGCGGCCCCGACGATGGAGAAGGCCACCTGGCAGCCCAGGAACAGGAAGTCGGCGGCGGCCAGGTGCAGGACGTACACGGAGAAGGGTCCCTTCTTGATGTGGAGGCCCAGGTGCCAGAGCACCAGCCCGTTGCCCACCAGGCCCCCGAGGCCGACGGCCAGGGTGACGTAGAAAACCACGCTGGTGAAGGTCCTCCAGAGCCCGAACATGCTGGCTGGCGGGGAGGTCGGCAGCGGGGCCTGGAGGGAGTGACAGACAGCGCTGCTGACGTCGTGTGCCTGCTGCAGGGGACTCAGGGGCATCCCCCGAGTCGGCAAGGTGCCCTCCGGGTGCAGCCGGACACGGGTGGCACCAACTCGGGGTCCCGATTCCCAGCGGGTTCCTGGCCCTCCCGCCTCACCGACCTCTTCATAAGAGGAAGACTCGGTGAAGACGTACCCGACACGACCTGTGGGTGGGCTCCCCCACTCCCCCGCCTCCCCACCTGCTCCCTGGACACCCCGCCCCCAGCTACTCCTGTCCCCGCTGTGCCAAAGGTTCACGGGGCCCTGCACGGGGAGATGTGGGGCCACAGAGGTGACAATGGGGTGGACAGCTCTCTGCAGACAAACGGGACACCCATGGGGACCACACGTGTAGGGACCCCCTCCCTCCTCCGTCAGGGACCCTGCAGGTGGAGGGGCTCTGGTGACAGGTCCCAGGGCCCCAGATCTTCTGGGGGAAAAGCTGACACAAGGGTTTGCTGTCCTTGACTTCCAGGAGTGAGAGCCCCGGGGTCCTGCGCTGGTCCCAGTGAGGGGGCCTCCCTCGGGGACAGTCTCCCAGGGGAGAGAGGACGGCTCGCAGGGAAGTCCGGCCTGGCAGAGGGGCACCCAGAGCCGCCCCACCTTTCCTGGGCCCCTCCCCCAGGATCCACACTGGTCCTGGTTCTCAGCCGGCAGGGGTCGGTGCGGAGGGCCATGGGGAGCTTGCCACGGAGATGAGGGGTGTGGGGGGGCGGGGGGAGCCATGATAGGGAGGGGCGAGAGAGACAGACACAGAGAGAGACACACAGGGAGAGACAGAGAGACAGACAGCCAGGCAGGGACAGACAGACAGAGAAGGGCAGGGAGCAGCAGTGAGGGAGGCCTAGAGACGCAGACAGAGCCCACCCAGAGCGAGCCGGGGGCCGCCTGGCCACCTTTGCTGGGCTGTGCCCTGGTCCCCTCCCTGCTTACCTGGGTTCCCCCTTCTCTGAGGCCCTGAAACCCCCCAGCCTGGCTCCGAGCCCCCCGCCGTGGTCACACCTGAAGTAGTGGCTCCTTTCCCTGTGGCCGGCTTGTCCCCAGGGAGGCTCTCACCTGGCCCCCGGAGGCCTTGCCCGTGACTGGCACCCCATGCTCCTCTCTTGGGGGTGCAGGGAGCCAGGTCGGCCTCCCGTGTCAGGTGAGACCGTGCCAACCCTCCCCTCTCCGGGCCTCAGTTTCCCCAGTGTGTGCGGAGGGAGCTGCCCAGACCGCTGGGCTGCTCTGGGGGAGGTGGGGTGGGGCTGTGCTCCTGGCGCGAGGTGAGGGAGGAGGGGGGTGGGCCGGCGGTCACGGAGCTGGCAGACGGGCGCACCGGCCCCTACAACCAAAGGAGAGCCCAGAGCCCTGGCCTTACAAACTGCCCCTACTCAGCGTCCCACCCCATGGCGCCCTCCCAATGGACGCTAGCCCGTGCCCAGTCGTGCCCAGGGCCCACCTGGGGTGCGTGGGGCGGCCCCTCGCTGCAGGAGCAGGCGGGCTGGCGGAGGGGCCCTGAGCCTTCCCAGCCACCGCCTGGGGCTTCTCTCAGAGCAGCCGCGCTCACCGCCAGGCCCTAAATCCTCTCACGTCCCCTGGGCCCCGGCAGCTGGACCGCAGCCACGGGGCCAGTTCCCTGGAAGTGGGAGGGGTGAGCTCCCGGTGCAGGGGATGAGCTCAGACCAGCTGTCCTCAGTGTGGGCTGGCCCTGCCCTTCCTCCTCGGGCCTGCGGGCCTGCGGGCTCAGCACTCACGCACCCCCACCCCCGCCGCCCCCTTCGCCGGGCGGGGCCACACCTTCCACAAGGTTCCACCAGGTTGTAGGCACAGTCTGGCCCTTTCTGGCTGTGTGGCCTTGGGAGAATGCCCTGACCCCTCTGGGCCTCAGTGTCCCCGCTCCCTGGACTGACCATTCAGGGACAGCTCAGCCCCTGGCTTCGGCCCGGACCCAGTGACGGGCCACGGGCTGGAGCTGCTGGCGTCACTCCGCCGAGGCGGACGTGCCCTTCTCAAGAAGCCCTCCCCATCCTGTCCACCAGCCAACCCGCCCCACGCCCTGGGGTCCCAGTGTCCAGGGATTCTCGGGGGTTCAAACGCTTTTCCAAATTTCATTATGCGGAGCCATGTACCCCAAATCATCCCCGGTGAGGGGCTTGCCTTCAGGGGGGCTGCGCTGCGTCGTTCCTGGAGCCCCCAGCGCTCAGGAGCGCAGCAAGGGAGAGGCTATGTGCTGAAGATCCTCGTACGTGTCAGTGGGTTTGGCCTCAAAGTCACTTCACACGAGGGGCTGTCACCGAGCGAGTGTCCTTCGGCACGGCAGAGACCCCAGGCTAAGGCCGCAGGCATCTCGGCACTCGACTTAAGAATGGGAACGGCAGGTCCTCCAGGCCTGGGACCCCCTGCAGGAGCCGGGACCCCCCTGCCCCGCATCCCGGAACCCTCGCTCAGCATGCTTGGGGGCGGCCCCTGTCCTCCAGGGTCACCCCAGCCTGCGCGAGCCTGCCGCTCCCTCCGCTCTGGTCCCAGCACTTGCCCCCCGGCCGCATGCCGTCCGCTCACTGCCAGGAGGGACCCTGTGCACGGGCAGCTCACACGCAACCTCGAGACAAGTAGCCGGTCTCGGGGTGTCGGCAACACCGACAGCAACCAGCGGCCGCGAGACGTGCCCCGGGGGCTGCACGAGGCCCCCAAAGGCACACCCGAGCCCAGCCCCCGGCACCCGGGGCATTCCTGGGAGAAAGGGCCTTCGGGGAACAAGGTGCGGATTCTGAGGTGAGGCCATCTGGACTCCCGGGTGGCCCCTAAATCCAGTGGCTCGCGGCTTCACCAGAGAGAGAGAGAGAGAGAGAGAGAGAGAGAGGAGAGGAGAGGGAGGGGAGGGAGGGGAGGGGAGGGGGAGGGGAGGGAGGGGGAGAGGAGAGGAGGGCAGAGGAGAGAAAGAGGAGAGGAGAGGGGGGGAGGGAGAGGAGGGGAGGGGAGGGGAGGGAGGGGAGGGGGAGGGGAGGGAGGGAGGGGGAGGGGAGGGGAGGGGGAGGAGAGGAGAGGAGAGGAGAGGAGAGGAGAGGAGAGGAGAGACTCAGGAAAGAGAGAGGAGGTGATGACGTGATGGTGGAGGCAGCAGCTGGAACGACACGGCCACCAGCAGCTGGACGGGGCGGGGAGGGTGCCCCCCAGAGCCCCCACAGGGAGCAGCCCCAGCCCGTCCCAGGCAGGCCCCGCTGCAGGAAGTGCCCAGTGCTCCACGCTTCCGACCCACGGACGGGCAAGGCCACCCACTTCAGCCTGACCCAGCTCGGGGGCCTCGGGCAGCTCAGCGTGCCCCTTTGGCCCTGAGGGTCCCAGGCTGCAGGTGTGGGCAATGGCCCTGTCGCACCTGGGGTGTGCCGTGGGGACTCGGGGAGCGCAGGCTGAGGACTGAGGGAACATGGACAGGACGGGCGGGTCCGGGGTCCTCTCCTGTGGCCCTCTGTCCACATGGTTTCCCACCACCGTCCCAGCTGAACCTCCTCAGAATCGGCCCGACGTGGAGCCCCCAAGTGGAGACAGGGGTTACCCAGGCCCCCCAGGGGCAGATGGGGAGTGGGGACTACAGAGGGGTGTCCCTGTTCCCTGGCAGTGGGGTGTCCCAGCGCCACGCCCCGGGCGTGGGCTTGTCTGTGGAGGGCCCACTGGAGAAGGGCTGTCTCCACGTCCCCGTTGTGCCCGGGACGACTGTCTCCGAGAGACAGAGCACTACTCACAGTTCTCCAGAGGGGGGACCGCAGCGGCAGGGAAGCTGGGGCTGGGACAGAGGCAGAGGGAGGGGCTGGCGGGCCGGGGCCACCCCTGGTCTGGCAGGGAAGGGGCTGGCAGGGAGGCTGGTGCTCGGGCACGGGGTTGGAGGGTTTAAGTACTCTCGGGGGCTCGGGGTCGGGGGCAGGGCCGTCTCTGGTCGCCGGGCCGGCCCAGGGGAACCGGATACGGCAGCGGGAGGGGAGAGGGCTCTGCCCCGGTTGGTTTGCGTGGTCGGAAGAGCGTGTCCTGTGGTTTTTCATCTCGAGGAACTGGCTCATGCTGCAGGGGCCGTGGGTCTAACCAGGCCAGCGAGGCCCTGACGGCGGGGCGTCAGGCCACAGAGAAGGGAAGGCGGGCGAATACAGGCAGGTGCCGTGAACTGTTCGCGGGGAGCGAACCGGCGCTGAGGCTGTGGTCTCTGCCCCCGCCCCCCACTTCCCATTCCCTGCTTGGAGTCTGCACGGCCCCTCCCACGAGACCGCCCCTGCCACCTCCCGCCCTCAGCAGGGCAGAGGGCTGGGGGGCCGGGAGCTCGGTGGCTCTGCTGCTTCCGAGGGGGGATCCTGGCCTCGGGTCTCTGTCCCCCAAAGCCTCAGTTTCCACCCCATGAGGTCGACGGGATGTGACTCGTGTTGCATGTTTTTCCCGTGCCCCCCACACAGGAAAGACTCGGCCTGTGTTGGCTTTTGTTTCATTGGTGTGTCTGTAAAGTCAGATTTAAAGAACTGGGCTTTTCTGTAAAAATACCCGTTTCTGAAAATGACCCAGCACAGCCCACTCGAAGGAGCTCACGTGGCGGATGGTGGGGCCGAAGCCGGCCGAGCGGGGGCCCACGCCCCTCTCCGCACGGCCCCCGACCCAGAGATGGACGACGATCCCAGGGCTTCTGGGCGAGCGGGGCAGCTCCGCGCAGGGGAGATAGCGCCCGAGGAGAGGCCGTGCTCCAGGCAGGATGTTTTCGCTGTGCGCTTCCAGCTCTGAGGTCATGAAATAGCTGAGGGGTGAGCGGGGGCCCCCCGGTGAAAACAAGCTGTGATTTACGGCCCGCGGCGAGAGCGGGTGGGGATGGAGGGCGCCCGCCTCGGCCCCCGGCCCGCCCGGCAGTGCCGCATGTCCTGAAGCAGAACCGGTGCCCAGGCAGGTCCCCGGGATGGCCCCACACCCTGCCCGGG